GGGGGGGGGGGGGGGGGGGGGTGGGGGCAGGGGTTCTAACCCCCTCCCCTTTCGATTTCTGAAAAAAAAAACACACGAATCGCCCCCTCTTGAAATAAGAATTTTGACTAGTTGAATCATAGTTCTAAATCGTAGCAAATGGTAATGTCGCCCTTTAAAATACCAAAATTTTTGACAGCCAACTCCCCCCCCTCCCCTTGGCCTGAATCCCACGCCAAAGGGAGGGGGGGGGCGAGTTGGCTGTCATTCCTAAAAACCGGACCCCCCTTCAAATAATCCTGGATCCTTCTCTGTTTATTATACCATTTGGGTTGGAAACTGTGTCAAAAGTATTATTTATTTGACCACATATTCCTCCCAGCTAATTTCCAAATTCGGATAAAACTTCAAATAAAAATAAGAAAAACTCCCTTCTGAGATGTTACGAGCTCAATTATTTGATGAAAAGTGGTATAAGATATGGGGTCCAAGTGCAGGGAGGGATTGAGAAATAATCCAAAAGTAAGAGAAGTTATTCCAGGGCATATTCGATTTGGCGGGAAAATTCCACGATAGGGTACTATAAGTTTTTTCCCCCCTACATTGTTGAAAATCATTGTTCCTTGGTCTTGTTATCATAAATCTGTCTCATTGATTGAGAATGTACGTTTCTAAAATTTGGAAGGAAGGGGTGATCGAGAGACGATGTAGGCCTAAGCCTACACCGTTCATTCAAAGGCACTATAAATGGAATTTTACCCCCCCCCCTCCAATTTATTTTCACAAATCATTGCTTGACTCATCTCTGCACTTGAATTCGATACTTATTTAATGATTTAGTTCTGCATGGCCTGCTAATCTTTTAAAACGCCATGTCCTCCTGTACATTTTAGAAGGAACGATCAACGCCAGATACTTTTATTTGAGGAGTTTTATAGTAGCTTTGCAGGATATGTAGACAAAATATACACAGAAAATATCGCTTTGGCAATTTTTTAAACGTGTGCAATATATGCTTGTAACTGTCCTTGCAGAACTTTGGATGGTTCATTTTCATAATTTTCGTCATTCTCTTTCAGATTTCCTACGGCCAGGCAGTACCCTACGGTACACCTATACCTATTGCCAGTGTCAAGGCTAATCTTTTTGGCAATGTCGTCATCTACGATGTGGAGAATATGAATATGTTTGACTTAAGTGGGACCGGACTAGCCATTGCTGAGGGAGCCATCGCCGCCCTTAAAGCCGAGGCCGCTAAGAATACCGCTTAGGCCTCCTTATTCCCAAAATTTCCATCGGAGCTTGTCCCAATGTGCTTGTACCAAAATATTGACTTTACATTCCATATATACTTTACAATATACTTTATATATGTGGTTGTCTATTTACTATCGGTTAACTATCGTGCTTTCATGAATGCAAACAAGTTACTCTTATCCAAGTGTAAGTCTGGAAACGTACGTGGTCGTTTTAGAGCCACCGATTTCCTTTTCTTATTTTTACACATGTTTTTGACATTTCCATGTTATATAGTTTCGACTGCATTTAGTTTTTTTTATAAGTGAGATTCCGTTTTTTTATCCGAATATTTGAATTTGGCGGAATTGGAGCAAAATAAAACCATCGCATGCTTAATAAAATACATTTATGCATTAAAGTAGCCTTGAATAGTTTTTTAAAGAAACATCTTCAAAACCTAGAGTCAGACTCAATGAAGCTGTAACAACCCCTGTCATTCAAATAAATGACTTAAAATAACGTGTGATCCAGGATTTTTGAAGGGGGGTCCGAGGATGCGAAACCGACCCTTCCCCCCCGCCCCCTTTTTGGTATTTTAGAGGCGAACGGTGCCATTTGTTACGGTTTAGAACTACGATTCAGCTAGTCAAAATTCTCTTTTCAAGGGGGGACCATTGGTGTGATTTTTTTTTCAGAAATTGGATGAGGGATCAGGACCCCCCTGACCCCACCCCCCAAATCCGCCATTGCTAAAAGACTAATGCAATGTCAAAATGGGAACTCCTTTCTAAAGAACCTCTCACAGCTGAAGAGTGGAAAATCTTGAATAACATTCCTTTCCAATGTACTTTAGATACTAAACTGCGCTGGTTTCAATTTAGAGTATCAAAAAGAATTTTAGCTACAAATAATTTTTTACGAAAAATTGGGATAAAAGACACAGAGACCTGCTCCTTCTGTAACGAACACCCTGAAACTCTTCAACACTTATTTATTGAGTGCAAAGTAATTGCTCCCCTTTGGGCAAAAATACAAGACTGGATCCCTTTAAAGACTGGACTTGTATTACAATTAACAGCATCTGATATACATGTAATTCTAGGAATTCCAAATTTGAAATGCAATGCGCTCAACAGTTTGCTGATCATAACAAAATTTATTATATATAAATTTAAAATGAAAAACATTACCCCGAACATAGAAAATATTAAAATAGAATGGAGACAGGCCTACATCGCAGAGAGAAATATAAGTCTGAGAAACATGACAATAGATAAATTTAATGAAAAATGGAAAAGCTGCAGCCTCTCTTCCTGGACTGATATCTTCTATCTGCGTATGTTCCCCTGCCGATATTTGATAGTAAAACACATATTTGTTTTTATCTGTATTAGATCATATTACTTATTAAGTATTATAAAGTATTTTACTATTAGGTTATCAATATATTTTGACATATATTTTAAATGACACAGTACCTATATATATATATATTGCAAATGACTGAGTGTCTCTTTGTGAGTGAGTGAGTGAGTGAGAGAGTGAGTGTGATTTTTATTTAGTTATTTACCAATTTTGTATTTTTTGTTGAGATCTGTACTTATTTGAGATATGCAATAAAAAAAAATCCGCCATTGCTAATGAGAACACTGTCAACATCTTTTCTGAGTAACAAATAGAGGGACATTGCATGTCTGTCAGTGACAAATAACAGCGAAATAAAGTCACCTGTTTCTGTGACAAATAAGGTCACCATAAAATAATTTTTCTGCGACAAATAAAGTCAGTATTCAAAGATCTTCATTTACAATTTGCACCTGTTGGTTCAGTAAGATATAAAGGCACTATTCAAAACATTACCATTTGCAATGCATTTGTCTCAAAAAAAAAAAAAAATAAGGTCACTTGCTTCTGTGACAAATAAAGTCACTATTCAAATGTTTTCCTTGCCGGTACAATGCACCTGCTGGTTCAGTAATGAATTAAGTCACTATTAGAATAAACGTGACAAATAAAGTCACTTGTTTCCTTACAAATGCAGTTCATTACTTTTTAATGTCTTTTTTATTCAAAACTTGCTGTTGTATATTCCAAATTAAAGTTTAAAAAAGAACTTAATTGCAATAAATTAAGGGTGTACAGAATTAAGATTCCACCTGTTATCTAAAATTCGCAGAGTTATCTGCGTGGCGCAGGCGCAGACGTATTAGACTGTGACCTTGACACCATTAGTTACGCTTTGGCTGTGCTAAACGCAGCGATAGAATATAATATACATTCATTTATACGTATGAGTTAAACACTTCAGCATAATCCAGGAAGATGGAGGTGAGCTGCACATCTGAGAAAAAAGTTTAAGTTTAACAATTTATATAAGTTAGTTTAAATTAACGGGAACCGAACGATCGATGTCCCTAGAGCACGTAGCACGAAAATTCATGCGTTAGCACTCCCGGTTCTGATATGTACTGGCGGAGTTAGATCTCTTCGTTTATTAGCAAGTTCAGCTCTGTATGTCTCGTATGTAACTTGTATGATAATGGGCAGCTTTTTCATAAGATAAGTCTCTCTCTCTCTCTCTCTCTCTCTATACATGTATATCCTATATCCTAGAGTTCATCACAATAACTTTGAACAAAATTTAAATTTTGGACAAAATTTTACAGTGATTCAAACTGGAGTGCTAGTTTTAACTTTTACTAAAACTAAGGCAATATTTTCACATCAATTTAGACTTGCAATTGCAATTTGTATTGAGAACTGCATTTCATAGTATTAACATGATATAGTAACTATAGTTTTATTACTGTAGAATTGTAATCATGATATATATGTATATAGTTTTTCTTTAGGTGGATAGCTGCAAAACTTATGTTTAAATTTCTGTTGTATTCAAAATGAAATGAATTTTGTTACATTGTATTGTAGGCACTGTGGATAAAACTACAAGCAACAGGCATGATTCCAAAAGCAAGAAGCAGCCATAGTTTGACAGTGGTAGGTAAGAAGGCCTTTATGTTTGGTGGGGAGCATGAACCTCGAAAGCCAATTGATAACAAACTTCATGCCTACGATTTGGAGAAGAATGAGTGGTCGGAAGTGCATACGCATGGTGCCGCCCCCTGTCCACGAATTGCTTGTGCTACAGCTGCAGTGCAAGGGTGGTAAGCACATTTAAGCATATGCATATGATAAGCTGTCCCCGTCCCCTACCTTTCATGTCTTGTTTGAACAAGTAGATAAAATGAGGGATTCTGCATACTCTCCTTTGCTTATTTATTTATTTTGATAAGACTTGTCTCTCAGGGTCTGTGTGCTTTCTACCAAATCTTGTGCTAGACTGAATCACCTTGAACTGAACATCCATTTATATTCTTATTTTTCACTCTCACTATACAATACCTTTCATATACTGGATCTTCTCTCTTACTTGTGTTGTCACTGAAGAGTCTTGGGAGAGATAGAGTCACACTCTCAGATCTTGTTTTAAAATACAGAGGTATATACTCTCCTACCAAAAGTCACCCCTACTGCATTAATGTGCATTCCTCCAAGATGACCATAGATTTAATTTTACTATCACATAACAACTATGTAACCAAGCATCATGGAAATTGGAGATGTGAGTTGTAGAGCATTGACCTACCTAGTGTGATACATTTTTGACCAAGCAGTTGACTTAGGAGGGTGAATGCAGGATCACTGGGAGGTAGGGTTGTTCCATGAGAACCATTCAGAGGATTAGATGGCATCATAACCAAACTGGCACATGGGCAAGATTGGCAAAGGAAACCATGCCCAGAAAGAGAGAATGCTTGCACGCCTTCCTCGTAGAAAACATTTTGTGACATTAAGGAACTTTATTGCAAAGAAAAGGGCAAACCATGTTTCTGAATTCACTGCACGAAGCCATCTGCACAACTGATGTTATTTTGGCAAAGTTTCTGAGGAGGAGAGTGATCACTGCCAGGACTGTCTACAATGAGTCAGATGGTGTACCAGAACTCTGGCATGGACACCAGCCAACAACTGAGCAATGATACTGCGTATTCTCAGAAGAAAGCAGGTTCAGGGTTGTCAGAAATGACAGACGTGTAAGAGTTTGGAGAACAGCTGGTGACAAGTATCTTCCCAATTTTCTACCTCTGGTCAACAGGACAGGACACAGCCCTCATGTCAAGCCATGGTATGGAATGCATTGGCTGCCCTGGTGTAGGTGAACAGGCAGTGATCAACTGGAACTTTAACACAGAGCATTGCATACAAGTACTGGAAAGGAACGTAAGCTTGATAATGCCAGTCCACATACAGGCACTGTAACAGTAGGCTGGTTATATGTGGACCAGATCCAGACCCTCCCAATGGCCAGCTCAATCCCTAGATCAGAACATCATTGAGAATGTGTAGGATATCCTTCAAAATGGGTTACTGGTTGATAAACCTACAAACAAAAATTTCTCATACTATCTAAGCTGCACGATTTGAGGAATCCCATCACTACACAAATGTTACATAACTTTTTTAGTCTATGCACAGAGGTGTCATGTGCATCATCCAATCCAGAGGATACTGTACAAAATACTCAAGTGTGACTTTTATTTATTTTTACTGTGCTTATTCATTGGTTGTACAATCAGTTATTTTTTTGAAAAAATCCTTTTGGAAGTTAAATAACACTGGTTTATGACATGATTTTCTGTATCACTTTACACATTAGGGGTGACACTTTTTGGGAGGGGAGTATACTGTGCAGGAAGGAGAATAATATTATCTGTATATATTTTGATTGTACCCATCCCATGGCTTTGACGAGAGTCATATTTGTGGGCGCTCACTTACACCCCACAGCTCTTACATTGTTGAGCAGGGGGAGTTGATTTTTGAAAACACTGGCATTTAAAAAATAATGGAGCTTCACTTTATCTGCATTAATCATTTCCTAGTAATAGGCATTTTGGGGGATATGTTTTTAAAGTTTAGCATGTGTAAATGATAATTTTTAGAGTTATGCTTTACAGTTTTAAGTTTAGTCTTAGTTTTCAACTTTGTATTGTGGGCCTTTGTCAGTATCACTCAACTAGGGTCTTTTAAAGCAACATGTTGACTTCATCCAAGGTCTGTTATGGTAAATTTTTCTTTTCAGTGTACTGGTATTTGGTGGAAGGACTGGTATAACCATGGGTGAGGGGGCCCTGAATGACCTTCACAGCTTTGACCTAGAATCATCAACTTGGTCACAACTAAACACAAAATGCCCTCCTGCTCCACGCAGCTTTCACACGACTACTTCTGTTGGGACAAAATTTTTCGTCTTCGGTGGCTGTTCGGATAAAGGCAGACTGAATGACCTCCATTGCTACGACACCAAGTTAGGAGAGTGGGAAGAGATGCCATGCAGTGAGGCCATCTTGGGGCGTGGGGGCTCTTGTATTACAGCCCTTGGCGGTGCCATCTATGTTACTGCAGGCTTCAGTGGGAAGGAGATGAATGACATGCATCGGTTTGATATTGCAACAAGAACATGGAGTCAGCTTTCCATGGCAAGGCCCATACCTCCACGCAGTGTTTTTGGCTGTGTACCAGTAGGCGAGCATCACTTGATTGCATTTGGGGGAGAAGTGGATCCATCGGACCAGGGACATGAAGGTGCGGGAGAGTTTTCCAATGAAACCTTTGTTTTCAATACCCAGAACCCCACAGAGGGTTGGACGAAGGTTTCAGTGAAAGGACAGGTGCCGCCCCCTAGGGGCTGGTTTGCTGCTGCTGGTTTACCCAATGGAATGCTGGTCTTTGGAGGGAATTCCCCTAGTAATGCCAGACTAGCTGATATGTACAGACTTGAAATTGAGGGATTGGCATAGTATCTGTTTCATACAGACAAAACAATTTTTAGGAACAGGTCTGCGTCTCATCTACTTTAGTGACATATCCTGTGTGCTTTTTCAGTGATAAACAGACCACACAGTAAGCAGGACCTAAAACTTGTCTCCCCTTTCAACCAAACAAAAAGTATTATCCTATAGTGTTGGAATAAACGCAGGTTATGCAGTTGCTTTGGCTTAATCAGGATTCTGATTAATGCTGCTTGATGCCATAACCCATTGAATGTAAAGACCAAGTATACCACATCACAAAGTTGCCTTCTATATAAACATATAATTATATAACATTTCTTTCTTGCATACCAAATTTATTCGGCAAACTGTATATCATCTACACGTTTGATTTTAATTGTAGTTAATGAAACCTTGACATTCCAGATTATGTATTATTCATGAGGTTTTTGGGTAAAAAGAACCACAGAATGCTTTGTTGGTTCCTTTAGTTTTAACATAAACAGTTTACTTGGTGCAAGTAATCATCATTGCATATTTTAATTTGCTTAATGCTATTTGTTCACTGGCTGGGGTAATTTTGCTAAGCTGTGCTGGTGTTGGCTTCACAGAAGAAGTTGAGATTGGAAGTAGGTCTTACCTGTGGCCCCAAGTTTGATCATCTTCTATTTCAAGATAAGCTGTTTTAAAATAACTGTAGTGATTAAGCAATCGTTCACGGTCCAAAACTTCTTTTCATTATATGAGGAGAGTGCAATACTATTGGGCCACGTTCGACTTTTATTGGGTCTTAGTAGACAAAAAATTGTGGTCTCTTCTGACTTCAGTCATTGGGACTTTCTTAAAAACTTTTCCCTAAAGTATCAAGTGGAGGCAAAATGTGTGCTTCCCTTTGTAATTCCAGAAACTGAGCCGTGTGAGGTCCCAAATTATTGCTTTTTTTTCTGTTAATTTTCTAGCATATTTAGACAAAATACTGTATGAGAAAGGGATTGCTTGAATTCTTAGGCATTTATGGCAAGCTTCAAGGCAGCCCATTAGTGTAAGAAATTGTTGGTCATTTCTTGTAGATCTAAATTGTTAATTTGAAACATACATTCAGAAGAATCACATTTTAATAAATTTATCAATTTTTAATCTAAATGACCCTAAAAGACTTATTTTTCGTTCGCAACACATTTAAATGTAATTCAATGAATTTAAGTAATTTTGCCTGAATTCATTGAGCTTTAAATTTTCCATTTCTCCTGAACAAATGTGAACAGCCAAATAAAATATAAATTATGTGCAAGTACATGATTTTTTAAAAATCAATACCAAGTCGTGCTTCAAAACTAGCATCAGTTTACATTTTCCTTGCAACGTTCAACTTCCTAACCTGTAACCTAGAGATTTTATCACTAAAAGCAACAACAGGGAAGACAGGCTGTTTAATAAATGATTGTATTTTATGATTACACTATTCATCATGAATATCCATTAAAAAGTCTTGTGCACGCGAAGACCGTGGAGAGAATCATACCAAGAACGAAAGAATCCTGAACAATGCCAGAATTCGTGCATGATTGTGCCAGTAGAGATCTTGTCTCAACTACTGCAATGTTGCCATCCAGCCACACTAGTCTCACCAAGTCTGATGTCCTGCCTGTCCCAAAGAGGTCTGTCTTTTTTCCCACAAAGAAAACAAAACGGTTTTTTTATCATTTCCACCACAATAAATAAATGGATGAATAAAATAAAAATCCCCTTTTTCATGCACAATAGTCTTTTTCCATGCACAATATTTAGTTTGAGAACCATTAGTCTTGTGATGCAAACGCATCAAGTAATGCAGTCTCTCTCCAAGTCGAAAACACACCACACCATTTGTTCGTCTGGGCCCACTATCACATCGTCAATTCCTGAAAGCGTAAAAAAAATTTTTAAAGATTGAACACAATGCTGGCCTCATTAAATTGTTGTTCACTGTAATGTTAACCAATAATATACAGAATTTGAATCACTGAAGGTGGTTTTGAATGTGTTTAGGCATCATCATTTATCTTTTTTGAAATTTGTTACAATAAAAACAAAAAGACCATCTACTGCCTATTTTCTTTTCTTTAATCTTAAACATCCTCCCAAACAAAACGCATTCTAGCAGCTATAATGGCAGGTCAGAAGTAACATGGTAGAATCATAATATTCATAGCCCAATGCTTACTGTCATCATACCTTCTGCTGATGCAACATCCAGTAATACTGTCTTGAATTATTTGTTTAAATTTTGTTGCATATTTATCTAAATAGATTTCTATACACCTGACATAACCACTCACCATTATAGCATTAACAATATCATTCGAATTATTTTTCAAAGCCCGTACTGCCTTCGACCGAGACACGTTGGCTTGGGACATGACCAGCTCAACGTCTTTGGCTTCCACGCCCGTGTCATCAACCTGAAACACAAAGAAAACGTCTTAGACTTCGAAAATGAAAAAGTTTTTTCAATAATTAAATTTTACATTTAAAGAATAAACATTTCGCCATTTCCTTTAAGTCAATCATAACTTAGACAAAAGATGTTTCAGTATTAGACTGTAAGACACGATGACAGATGATTATAGTGGCTTGTGTCATTTTTTTTTCTTTTTGACTGTGCTTGTTTCGCAAATATTTAAGGAGAGAAATTTAGGTCTCCTAATATCACATTCCTACCTCCTCTTCATCTGATTCTTCCTGGATGGGTTGTGATACAGGAACTCCAGGCACCCCTTCTCCAGCAGGTGTTGCCTCTGCTGCCTTGAATTTTTCTGCAGCAGCTACTTGTGCCTGCTGACTCAAATCTTCAATCTAAGAGGAAAATTTGGATGGAAACGATGATGAGGTTGTTGTTGATGAAAAATATATGCATGTATTGTAATATTAAAGAAATTCATGGACTTTGGTAACTAAAATCATACCTCATCATTCAAATCATAAAAAAAAATGTTGCTGCCAATAATTCAACTTTTTTTTTTTTAAATATTTCACCAGAACATTTCAGGGAGGGAACAGAAAGCAAGACCATCTCTCTACCTTAGCCTCTCCAAACACAATGTATGTGTCAGACGCTGGACTCTTGTACACATCAGGCCTGTTGATGACAAACAAAATGTTTTTGGACTTGCGAATGGTCACTCTGGTCACTCCAGCCACATGCTTCAGCCCTGGCAGGGAAAAAGTACACCAAGGTAAATACACGATTGGTGCAAATATCAATGGCATTTCACTGGAGAATTTTCAAATTGACGTATCACAGGAAGCAAACTAGCTGTAAAGGTGTTAAAATTATAAGACAACACAAAGCTTTCCTTCATCAATATAAGCAGCTCTGCAACCAATGACACCCTCAATTCTGCTATCAATTATATTCAGCCACTGCTATGTCAGAAGTAACATGGTAGAATCATATTGTTCATAGCCCAATGCTTACTGTCATCATATCATAAGAGTGCTCACATAATCAATGGCAGATAAAAAAATAATAATAAACAGCAGTTTGCAAATTAACAGCAGACAGTGTACATAAAACCCATGGCCATACCATTGTTCGTTTTACCAATCTTGGAAAATCTAATCAACTTTTTAATAATTTAAAATCATTGAGGCAAGTTCTTACTTCATTTTCTACCCATTTTCATAACAGACAATCATTGGTGGAAATATCATGTGAAATATCTGATAAAATAGTTTCCTCACCAAGCTTGGCCATAGCTTTTCTTGCTTTCTTTTCACTCCTGCTCTGTTTGGCTTTGCTGACTAGCTCCTCTTTGATACCAGCTGCTTGTGCCATCTGGTGGAGAAAATGTGCATTTGCTTTGAAAACTATAATTATATGAACTGTAACATTGAAAATTAACTATGGGACCTTGGTCATTTTGATTAAATAAGCATACAGTTTCTATCCTTAAAGTTGCATTATTTCTCCAAAATGACCAAATTATTTCTTAGGGCAATCAGAACACAGCTTTGAAATAAATGTTATGTTTGTAATTTTCATCAAAATAATGTATATTGAAAAAATAATAAGAACAATTGATACACAACAGTTTTCTTTATCATATCATACTGATGATCAAATGTACAAACAATTTCCCCCTACCTGACTCTGTTGCTGCAGAGTGGCTGGGTCGGCTTCTTCCAAATCAGGAACATCATCGTCGCTGTCCGACTCTGTCCCGGAGCCTGATGCCTCCACGTCATCTACTGGTTTCTCAACTGCTTCAGATGGCATTCTACAATAGCAACAATTTTAAATTGTGGGTACATTATTTCTGTACAAACTATAAAATTGGATCATTTCTTGTTGACTGGAGAAGTGCATTTATCCCTATTTTCCATAGACTGATAGCTAATGCTTACACACTGTCCAAAAAGAATAAGGTTTACTAAAAATGACTGATAAATTCTCTAAAACTTTACGAGTCTAGATCCTCAAACAGTATTAGAAACAATGTACTCTCAGCCAGGACGACAGATATATGGAACAATCTGTCCATAGCAGTAGTAACAGCACTGTCAATCAATAGTTTTAAAACAGACTAGGCAAGTTAGGGAAGGGCCTACCAACTCTACATTATACGTAATTATGACAAACCCTCACACTGCAGAGAGATAGCAAAGACAACGTTCCACAGAACCAGGGTAGCAGAAGCGGCAACAGAGGAGGCAATTGGATGGACCTTCAGTCGTGAAACAGCATGGTTGCATAGGTAGCCATTATTACCATGATTACATTAGACATTACCAAATCTGGGCATGGGCTTGTATTAGATATGTTATGTGATCTAGCGTAAAATCAGTATTAAAACACCAATCATAAAATAACTACAGCTTTAAGCTTAAAGGAATACCAAGGCAAATACGTATCATGGGCTCTTCGTGATTAAAGCTCAAGTTGCCGCTCAAAACTATTAGTAAACATGTACCTGCATGTTTATATGTCATGCCTTCAATTTGGAGACATTTTTTACACATAAAACACCCTAATCTTGTATGAAAACTTCGAAAAATACAATCACATGTCTTCTATCGACATAACTGTTACGTTGAAATCAATCCTGGCAATGAAACAGATACGATGATGACAGATGTACTTACTTGTGTGATTTAAGTCTTTCTTGCCTTTCTCAACGATGGCGACCGATAGGATGTGACGTCATGCAGGTTCCTGTAGTTCTTCACAACAGAAGTCCCGAATTATACGTGGTGACCGTCCCAAACAAAACGTAAACAGGTAAGATTTTGTTAAATTAAACGAAAATTATAAGGTTTTTGTGAAGAATTACACTTGCACGTCTAAAAAGATACTATTTTGAGTCTAACTGATTAAGTGTTCCCCAATTTATTTTCAAAAACGTGACATTTGAACATACTAAACGTTTCTCTTGTCCTGCTAGTGCTACAATGTAGTATCTTAATCCCACGCGCCAAGCACACGGTAATTTACCGGTACCTGTAAAAAAGGCTCATTTCTATTATTTCAGCAAGCACAGAGTAACTTTTTGCACACGTGCAGGACAAATGAGAAAACAATTAATGGCGTTTTTCCTTATTTAGATTACGAACACTTGTTGTGTCTAAGATTACCAGACAACGAGGGTGAGGATTGCCTCACTTTTTGGCCTTACAGTACATGCTATGCAGGTGATTAAGGCCTCATAACACCCTGTGTTACAAACTCTTGTGGCTACAAATATCTACATCCTGGGTTAACTGTGTGTCCTCAGTCACAGTTTGAAGCATATCACTCACAAGTAAAGTCATGTTGTATTGGTTCACGAACCAGAATGATATTGTTTTATTCTTTTTATTCCAGCTATGCAGTAGTGTTTGCACTTATTGGTTCCATTTATAAGTGAAATAGTCATGAGAGTTTCTAACACAGGGTGTTATGAGGCCTTACCTGTGTAGCATGTAAGGCTGAAACCCGAGGCAAGGGGTAGCAATGATGGAAAAGATCATTTATCTGCCTGAGCCCAGGTCTTCCTTCCCAGTAATGATTGAAAAACTTGAAATGTGCTACCTTAGGGATGATTTTCTTCCTGAGGGGGTTGTTCCATCTCCTTTTAGATCTGTCTCTAGATGTAAATCAGACAATGATTTCGTATGCAGCTGTCATACAGTGCGTTGCCCACTTAAATATAATTCATATATTAATTCAGATCTTCTTACTCTCTACACATTTTCTGATAGATCCAGTTATATGACATCTTTTGCGTATTGAAGCCCCTTCTGTTAGGAATGTAGTATAAGCAACTTTTAGAGAATCCTGTTTGACATCTAGCAAAATTATAAATACATTATAAAACACAAGGGTAAGTACAAATCAAAGAACCTATATAGGAGTGCTAACACATGAATATATATGGCATGCTACAATTGTAGTATTTGTCTTGAGTGTATATTTGGATATACAAGATAAACAGCAAAACAAGAGAGTACATGTACTGCTGTTCATGGCTATATTAACTGGTTAAACAGGAGTGCTGAGGCATGAATTTTCATGCCAGTAAACTTGAATACTTACTTACTGAATACTCACCATCTTTGATTCTGCACGGCACATTCTTCCTTTGATAGCTGGGACCTGCCAGTGAATACCGTTCCTTTAATGCACTGTCATCACATAAGTTTTCCAATTAATTTTTAACATTTTCCCCTAGGTATTGCCATGTCCAGGTAACAAACGTGTTTATCAGTCAAGATGCCAAGTGCAGGTGCTATAGGGATTCCATCCATCATCCCACTGAGGGACCCCATTCCAGGGAAACCAAGCAACCATATAGATATTGCAACTTGTATAGAGCTTAATTGCTGTAAGTACACAAACACACACACACACACACAAACAAACACACACACACACACACACACACACACACACACACACACACATGTGCGCACGCATGCACGCACACACACACACACGTACACACACACACACACACACACACACACACGCACGCACACTCGCACACATTCATGTTTGACACCTTATGGTCATAATGACTAAGAGGTATCCATGATATGAATAGTCTTTCAGAATTGGCACTTGGAATTATAGATCTTTCATAATGTCATTTCTATGAGTTCTCTAGACTTATTTTACAGCCACATCTGTTGTTACAAACCAGATAATGATCTTTCAAAATATCATTACCAAGGGTTTTCTTTCTTTCTTTTCAGCCACCTCTGGTTGCAAACTTTATTTCACAACAGATGGCAGCCGTCCAGATCCATTTCAGAGGAAGTCATCGGTGGGACAAACATTCAAGTACAGGGGACCATTTACTCTCAAACCAGGAAAGAGACTTTTGAAAGTCATAGCCATTGCTAGGTAGTTCCAATTTGTATTCTGAATGCATATTGCATAGAAAAACTCATTATTTGATTTGTAGCTGTGTCTTAGTACTTATGCTTACCACTGTTTTGTGAATAATAAAATGACAAGATGAAAGGAATGTTTAAAAAGAAAGGAAGAAAAAAGAAAATTGTTTATTTGCCAAGATGAATTAATATATTTTGAACTGATTAGTACGAATAGTAATTTAACCAATGGTAAAACCAAAATATATGAATTCATGTGGTACTAGTCTTGTGCCCCCCTTTCCCTTCCATTCAACAGAAAACACACAGACATACATGTACTTCCTAATACATTTATAAGCTGGACCACTATCAAAGTGCAGACTGTTTGACAGAGAGATAACACAAGTATGAACTGTTGTCAAGTGTTTTTTTTTTTTTTTTTTGGGGGGGGGGGATGGGGGGTGGGGAGGATTATTATTGCACAGATTTTGTTTGAACTTTTCTAAATGCAGCTTTTATTATTATTTATTAAGCCCAAAGACCAGTTTTAAAAAAAGAATTTTAGACAAATTTTGTTTTCACTTTTAATACCAAAATTTTAGTCTTACTCTTCTTAAATTCAGGATGAATCTGTAGTGGTTCACTACTGTATAGTAAACTGACATTTGGCCTTAAAACATTAGTCATTATTTTTTGTTATAATACAGGTGATTGAAGTATTTCTAGACCACTTCTGGTTTATGTTGAATGAAATTATGCAACCTTTGACGCAGACAACACTAGCCATTTACTGTGCATGTATTTGCAATAGGGGTAAAAAGAAAGTGCCCCCTAACACCAGAGCCATTTTCTGGGTGTGTTTTCCAAACTGTAAAGGCTGATTTGTTACAGAAATTCTATTTTGAAGTAATGAAAAAATGTTGTTTTCTTGTTCTCAGGGATGGACTTCATGAAAGTGCAGTAGTAACCAAGACATTCCAAGTGGATGACTTTGACTCATCTGATTACAGCGATTTTGATGACAGCAGCACCATTATCAGTACCAGCACTGACACTTCCAGATTTACAAATAGGACAACAGATACTGAGAGATCTGTACCAAAGAAAAAGGTATAACTTAGTCTAGAAGGTTTAGTTTTTCATTTAGCTAGCAAAAATGCTATCTTTTTGTATCTTGACAAAAAGGAAACTAGAAGGGTATATTATATATGTTTATTGACATTTATTTTTATCTTTAAAGAGGGTAAAGAATAAACTGATACTTATGGTGATTCCTAGAAACTACAGACAGTGACTATGGCAATATTTATTTTTATGTTGACTTAAATTTGAATTATACAGCCTGAACCAATCTGTTTTTTTATGAATAATATTTTCAGTCAAAACAAAATTTACTGTATATCAGCCTGCCGTATTGCTTATTATAATTAAAAGATGTTTCAGCTGTAATTTTTTGTTTGTTTAAAAAATTTATAATATATAATGATTGCATATGATCATGAATTTTCAGAAGAAAGATAAAAAAGACAAGAAGGACAAGGAAAAGAAGGATAAAAAGCCAACCACTCCAAGAAAAGCATGGGAAAATGGAGACATGAGACCAGTGTCAGGTACATACTAACACCAGAGCTTATGAAGTATTCAAGTTATATATCAGAAATCTTGAATTAAGTGCCTCACTCAGTCAATTTATTTCTTTTTTGTTTGTGTTACATAAGTCCTGTTTTTCTATACAGCCCCACCAGACATGGATGGCCCATTCAACCCAGTCAACTACTCCGGAACGCAGGTCAATGTATGGGGAGTGCCCCCAGACCAGGCCTCCAATATTGCAGCCAATCCACGGCCCTGGGTGCCAGGACCCAACCCCTCACCACCCCCCTGGGCCTCATCCACTGGGAACCAGTACGGCTACTACACCAATCAGATGATGGGGGTAAGTATAGAAATTAGAGATAGTTTGACTCTCAGCTTTTTATTTTTTATGTATATTATTATTATTATGATTATAATAATTATTATTATTATTAATTTGAGTTAATTTTTAAACAGAACTTTATGATAGTCAAATTATTTCCAGAAATATACATTTATTTATTATTTTTTTTTTTGGGGGGGGGGGGGGAGCAAAGATTTAACAGTCCACAATTTTGATATAATAGATAATTGGATTGCAGCCTGCCCTCCTCCCCCCTTCCCACATTTGCTTTCAACTTCCTGCATACACCAAAAATACAGTTTTCAATCTTGTTGATAACATCTTTAAAATCTTTTTCCAGAATTTGTATCCAAACCGTGGTCCTATGGTAGCTGAGATGTTAACCCAGAAATTGGATGAAACTCGTCAGAAGACAGTAGCAGAAGTGAGGCAGGCACTGCAGACCACCCCTCCAAAGCCAGCCATTGAGTACCCTGTGAAGACAGTGCCTGATGCTAATCCTTGCAGCCCAGGAAATGGTTAGTGTGTGTGTGTGTGTGTGTGTGTGTGTGTGTGTGTGTGTGTGTGTGTGTGTGTGCGCACATGGGTGCGTGCATACATGTGTGTGAGAAAGAGCTAGTCTAAGGATAAATATTTCAAATTTTGTACATTTTAATTAATACACTGTAACAAATTATATTATTTCACAGAGACATGTTACAAGATACATTTTTGCATTTATCTAATAATATTAAGCATATCCATGGATAAGTCTATCATGTCCACTAAAGAAAATCTGTAAGATATTTTATATGTATTGATATTTTACTTATTCCAGGAAACTGGCGTGAGCAGATTGAGCATATTTATGCACATCTCCTAGAATTAGCCAAAAACAATCCAGATTTCAAGGAAACTATAGCAGAACCTAAGATGGGCAGGGTATGGACCTCTTTGTGTTGTATTTCTACGTTAATGACATTAATGATTGCTCTTAAGGAAACTGTTTTGGTCATAGTTTTCATTAATTGTTGTATTGTTTAAACTAAAAAAGTGACTGGATAGCCTTTTAGGGATGAAGACGGTGATTTCTTTGTTAATTAAAGTTTTCCCCTATTACAAGGTTACTGAAGTGGTCAAATATATTACCAAAATTGAATGTTGAAAGTTAGGTTTAATGTTTTGTGTATTTTTTAAATATCAGTTGGTAAGTTTATGCAACAATTTAGTGTGTCAGTCATAAATGACAGGTAATGTGTAATATCTCATTTAAGTTGAATGTCAAATTTCCAGGTGCACTTTCAGGTGAAAATTGTACATTTCTGAGGGATAAGGTTGGCAAATAATTAGTGCTAAATACTCTTTTTCTCTTTGTACATATAGGTGATAGGCGCAGACTTTGAAGAAGATGATGACAGCTACATTCTGACAGTAAGCTTAGCGAAATATGGTGTTCCAAAGAAAAAGAAAACAGCTCCAGTTCCAAAAACCCAACAGCCAAAAACCCAGCAGCCTCAGAAACCTCCACCTCAGAAAACTGCTCCTGCCAAGAAACCGGCAGAGGCTGCCAAGACAGTAGCTGCAGCAACTAAGTGGGCCAGTAAGAAAGGAGAAGGAGCACCACCCCCAATGAAGCTTAAACCCAAGCCAGAACCTGAGGCAGAACCTGAGCCTAAAGGTCCAGAGCCTTATTTTGAGACAGAGGAGTATGAGGTACAACACATCGATATAAGCACTATATTCAGACAGTTGGGTTGCATTGTCACAAACACTCACACACGTGCAAGCACACATGCCCACGAGTAAGCAACACACACACACACACACACAGACACACACACACACATTGTGATATATATAAACGTTCAGAATATAGGTGTATTGTAGTAGAGTAGGGAATCGTAACATGTGTGTCACCTTTCCCCAAAAAATTACCAGTGGCCGATATCGTAATTTTATGGCCTGCTGCGATATGTCAGAAGTACAGTAAGACCGACCCAACTGACCTTAGAAATGCCCATATAGGGAGAAAGGTGGATTCAAATTTATGTGTGGTACATAATATGTGTAGTTTATTTTAGCACATAGGTTAAAATTGTTATTATTTCTATATTTTTGTTTTTGTAGCAAGAGGGCACTCTGAAGCCATATGAAGGTTTCAATGTTCAGCAGGACTGTGAAGTGCTCAGGAAGGCTATGAAAGGACTAGGTAAGGGTGTAGAGCACAATAAGAAGCAGATGATAGCACTGGAGAGAGAAAATGAAATACAAAATTTAGTTAAATTTCCTGAGATGTCTTACTTATAATCTTAAACACTTAGCCCTTGTTTTGTTATAATAAAAATATCATGATAATCATTGTAATAAAATGGTGTTTCAGGCACAGATGAGAAAGCCATCATCCAGGTGATGGGGTACAGGACCAGCACTCAGCGCCAGGATATTGTCAGACAGTTCAAGACCATGTTTGGGAAGGTAGGCAAGACCTGTAGGTAGGGAGGGGGTCGAGGCAGCTTAAAATAACCATCCTTTTGGCCAAGGAAAATTCTCCTCTGCATCAAAATTAAATCTTGATTTTGTGTGATTTCTCATTATGCATAAAAAGGTCCACTTTTTCAGCAAAAGAGCCTCTCATCCCTTGAATTAAATGATAAATGCTAAAACTTCAAAGATGATTAGTAAACTTACCGGTACAACATATGCATGCTAATTTGATTCCTCCTTAGTTCAATGGGTAGATATTTTAAAGTTCAAAACAAAGTACAATGTATACATAGAGTGAGCATATTTTATCTCAACTTTCCAGGACTTGATCAGCGAATTCAAAGGAGAGCTGAGCGGCAATTTCTACAAGGCCATTCATGCTCTATGTTTGGCCCCGGCTGATTATGATGCATATGAACTCCAGAGAGCAGTGAAAGTGAGTGTTTTCTGTGTACACCCATGTTACCGTGTGTTTTAGAGGTCAGATGTTTCAGGGTTTGTTTCAAGGATTAAAAAAGTGGGGGAGGGGGTGGATATAGCAGGTTACATAAGGCATATTTTCATGAATATT